TTCACAAGCAAGTATCCAATTTTAAAGAATAAGATGTCATATGATAGCCCTTGATCAGGGGATTCTTTTAAAAAAAAATTTATGCAATTTTAATCATTACTTGTACTATAATTCATCCTTAAAATTTTTTAAAAATTTGACAAAAAAATTGTTACCCGAATACTTTTGGCAGGTTGGTGTAGAAAGCCAAATAGTAATCAAATAAGATATCAAAAAAATACACATAAGTTTACTATCCTTTTTATTATAGAAAAACTTATAAAATACTAAAAAGATAACTATACTCTATTACACTTCACATATGTTTTGCATTCATTTAAAGGTTCATGCTTACAGTAATAGAATGCTAATTAATAATCAAATAAGATAATTATGTTCCACAACTTTTTTATATACATCTAAAGGTATATGCTTACAGTAATAGAAAACCAAATAGTAATCAAATAAGATATCAAAAAAATACACCATTCATATTATATATACAAAAAATATACCACTTATGTAGTTTATATAAGTTATTAAAAACAAGATAAAAGATTAGAAATTTATTGAAATTATATAGAAAAAAAAAACACGGGTTATGTACTCATAAGGTCCACTATTCAATTACTTCTTCCAGGTACAATTCAAGTTTTTAGAAGTGGAATATAACATACCTGAATCTTTTGAACTACATATTACAGTAATAGTAAGTTAAATAGTTATCTATGCTCTACTGTATTCTGCATACTGTTTCACATTTATCCTTTAGAATTCATGCTATACAGTAATAGATACTAGTCAAATACTGTATCAAATAGTAATTCCTATATTATAGATTAGCAAAAATTGATAACAATCAAAAATTATATTGTATTTTATATTATAATCAGCTTAAATCAGAATTTCTTTCAGTACAACATATTTTTTATATTTGACTTGTGAGAAGATTAAATAGTGTTTAGAAAAGAATTAGAATAATAAAGAAAATAATATTAAATTTTAAACTTTTTTATAATAAATAAAGTAGTAATATGAAATTGTGATCAAAAAAAATCTCATATTATTCAAGTGTAATTTAAAAAAAATTAAGTAAAATAATATAAAAATTGATATAAAAAAAGATAAAAAATTAGTGTATAAAAGAAGTCTGTTCATCATCTCTACTATTTATTGATTGATTATTATAGTCTATAATTTTCAATAGCAAGATAATAATAATTATGGTTAAGGGTAGGCTTGAAAATTTGTTTTAATTCTTTAATAATAGTTTCATAATAAATCAATTATTACTGTAGAACAATAAATTTTGAACAAAAAAATCACTATACCAAATGGTGATTCCTATACTATATATTAGCTAAAATTTGACCTATACTATATTCAGAGGTATTAAAAACAATTTTCTCATTTTGGTAGTTGTGCCAATAGGAAAGGCTGAAGTTAAATAATATTAAGTTAACATTAATTAGTATTATCAAGAGATACCATAGAACCAGTGTTGTCAAGGGACACTGATGAACAGTGTTTGGACATAAATTACTTTTTTTAAAACGCGAATATCGCAAAATTTTATTAAGAAAATCTTCTTTAAGCCATTAATTAAAGTTGTTTAGAATTGATTTTTACATATATTTCCAAGTTTCAATACTTATTTATAAGCTAAAAAGAGTACGGACAACGCGGATGTGGACATTGAACAATCAAAAAAGTCTTTGAACATGCAAAATGTACAACACTACATAGAACAGTTTTTATTTTTTTTAAATGTGAATAATGCAAAGTTTTATTATAAAAAATCTACTTTGAGTTAAAGTTGTTCAGAATTGATTTTGCATATAATTGTAAAGTTTTAATATATTTTTATAAGCTAATTAAGAATAAGGACAGTGTGAATGTGAACACAAAACAGTAAAAAAATCCAGAGACATGTATCAAACTACTTTATAATCTCTCAAACAATCTAGTATTGTCAAGATGTAAAATCAAAACATATTGTCTATAGGTTGAAAAAATATTGATTACAATATGCATGTCATCAAAACTATTGAATTGAGTCAGATGCAATTAAAAAATTGAAAAAATTAAAATTGAGTCAAAAGCTTTTTACTTTTGACATGTATAAATTAAAAAATTGAAATTGAGTCAAAAAGCTTTTTACTTTTGACAACATGTATAAATTACAAGAATAAAAAGGTACAATATCAAATTTTTTTTACACTTCTTTTTATGTTTTCTTTTATATTTTCTACTCTAATTTTCAGGATATCTTTGATATCATCTGAGTAGTCTGTGAGGAAACTTTCAATCAAATACTTTTGCTATTGGGCATAATAATTGAATTAATTATAATTATAATTAGATTAATAATCTAAATTTCAAAAATATATCATCTACCAAGTATATAAAAGTTATTGGAAAACTGGAAAACAAAATTCATTAATAAAAATGAAATTTCAAAAAAACATTTACAATTTAAATTTTTTTAGAAAAAAAAAAATTTTTGGAAATAAATACTAATAAGAGTTTGCAATGGTTTTTCGTTTCAATGGATTGAATATCTAACTTTGGAGTTTTTTGAATCTTTCACTTCTGAACCCATGATTTAAATATGGAATTAATGAGAATAATCTTTATTTTTACTTTCTTTTATAATTCACCAAAAATATCGTTTTGCATATGTACTTAATAATTTATCATTTATTCTATGGGACGGTATATGAAATATTCTTACAAATATGGTTTAAAAAGAGACAACTACGATTATTGTTAGAATTTGAAGATTTCATCAAAAAGTTTAATAATGAAACATTTGAATAATTTGGAAATGACGTTTTAAATTTGGAGATATGTTGAAGACGATTTTAAAGAACTAATTGCAGTTATTTTAAAGATTTTTAGCATATGTATAAATCATCTATGGTTTTTTTTTGCATACAATTCGTCGTAATCGATTAATTGTTAAGCAATTATTTTTTCAATCATTTAATATTAGTTGAATGATAAAGTACGATTTTTCATATAAATTGATTATGTGGTGTATCAGAATAATAATGATAAATAAAAAAAAAAATTAAAAAAATATATATTTATTAAATTAAGATAATTTTTAAGTTGAACCATTTTTCGATTTTTTGGTTTCGATCTCTGAATCATTGTCATTTTTTCTTTTAAGGGAAGCAGCATCAGACGGTTCTGCGTCCAATGAATCTTCGTTTGCTGCGTTATTTAATTTTTTCTCCTCGGAGTTATTAAATTCGAAGGGGCATTTCTTTTATATTTATAAAAAAAGGAATTAAAACCAAGCAAAACAACAAAATAACAAAAATAACAACAAAATATAAAATGTTTCATAATAGAAACTAACCTTATAATCAATTATATTATCATTTTGCTTAACTTTACATTCGTCAATATATTTATTGATCATCTCAACCCAGGACAATAGTTCTTGTCCCGATATTGTTTTGGGTATAACCCAAAATACACCTTCCGATCCTATAAAGTATTATTTATATTATTTAAATTTCTTTTAAATTAACTTTGTCATTCGAAGAAAAAACATACCAATCTTTCGGACAAACTTGTGTGCCCATAAATAAGGACAGAGTAGATTAGTGCAATTATCGAAAGTACCAGGAAATTCCATAAGAGTTTTCATTTCATTGGTTAACGGATCTATTTCTATTATGGATCAACAAAGTAGGATTAATATTTAAAAAATATTAAGACGCGCAATAACCATGTTATACAAATACATACTGAAATCATCATATGGTATTACGTCTTCAATTTCTTCATGATGACAGGATGCATCTTCCAATTCCATTCTCCGGCGTCCTACTTTAGTCATAATCTAAAAAAGAAAAGGAATTGAATTAAAAAGAATATTAATATAAACAGTAAAATATTAATTAGTTAAAAAATCATACGTCTTGAACCCATTGGATCTGATAAAGTAAGTTTTCCTTAATTGCTTTTTTCGTTACATTTTTAACATAAGGTTGGCGTCTCTCCTCTGTTTCTATAGTCTTATAAAACTCCTTGTTCATCTTTATAAATAAAATAAATAAAATAAATAAAGTAAAGTAAAATAAAATAAAATATAATATAATATAATTAACAAAGCAAACATACACTTTCTTTCTTTCTTTCTGCAAAAAATTTCTCTTTTTGTTGTTTGTCCAAATAACGTGCATATGTGGAATAAACCCATCTAAGATTATGTCTCTCAACTACATCCTTCAAAAACAATTATGGTAAGTAATTTGCATAAATAACATATAATATGTGTAAATAATGTCCTACGCTATGCTCCGGACAATGAAAGTTAATTATATTTACCGTAGTTTTCGGAATAACTCTTACTTCATTCATACGCCTACAAGTTTCATTACAAATTTCATCAATAAAATCAAAGAATGCCAATTGTGATTCAGAATATCCAACATCTTTGAAATTTGCACGTTGACAATTGTCAATGATCCAGGACCAATAAAGCTCAATGGCATACATGACTTCTAGATGCTTAACCTATAATAATAAAGAATAAAGTTTCAATTCTTATTATTAAATTAGGGAATTTCCGGAAATTTTTTTTTTTTACCTTTATGAAGAGATCGCTTCCATCTTGGTTAACATAAATACGGTGAAATAACACATTTATAGCATAAAAGTCACATTTAAATTTTTCATACACATCATATTGTTTAATATATGCAAAAATTGCATCAAGAACTTTTTCGTTAGCTAGAGTCTAGAATAAATGTAACCGAATAATTAATTTATTAATTTATTAATTATTAATTTTATGAATTAAAAAAAGATTTTTTTTTTAAATTTTACCTTCTCGAATTTATTAAATTGGCGTTTAAGACTCGTCTTTTCGGTTGCGGTAAACTCATATTTTATGTACTCTTGACTGCTAACTTTTGTTTCATATTTCTTCTTTTTTCGCCACCAACTTTTAAAATGTGGATCCTCTTTTGGGGGCCCTTGTTGATAATAAAGCATTGCCCATTCACTTTTTCCTGCAATACTTTCACGTGAATAATTTATTTTCGCATTTCTTTCTTGATAAGTATCACCTGGAATTACAGGTTGTAAAGAACTTATAAATGACGATTCAGATCGTAAAATAGTTGAAACATTCGAATTTTCTGACTGAAGCATGGATGTATCATTATCATTTATTTTTTCGTGCTCGTCAACTGTAAAATAACGAAAATTTAAAATTAAAAATCAATAAATAAATAACTATGTACAGTATAAAAAAAAAAAAAAGATAATTTATTTTTATTCGTACGAGATTTATAGTTCTTATTTTTATTGTATATGTGATCCTTCTTTGAGAAATGTTCAAGCATAGATAAGTATCGATGAATTGCTTCGATTAAAGACTTTACATAACTTTGTTATAAATAGTTATAAATATAAAGATTATGATGTTAATATTATAAATTTATAAATTCTATAAGTATTTAGATAAATTATATACCCGTTGTCTTTATCTTCAGAATTTTCAAGAAGCTTTATGAGAAATTCGAAATGATTTAAACTATCTAAAAGACAATATTCAAAGTCATGGACACCAGCTTTGGTTTCTCTGTTAACATCACTTGATGAGCTCATTATTTCAACAATTCTCGCCTAAAAAAATTAAGAATAATATAAAGATTCAAATATTTAATCAAAAACAAAATAATAATAAAATGATTGCTTACCATTTGTTGCAAACATTCTATTGCTAATTTAAGCCCATCCAATTTCTAAAAGTATCAAGGTCGTTTTAATTATTTTTTCGATAAAAATTTCTGGAATTTTTATAATTTATAAAATGTTTTTTACAAACCTTTATTCGATTCCATTGTTCCATCTTATCAAATAATAAACAGAACCCATTGTAACTCAAGATAGAATCAACCACCTTTAATGTTGTTGCGGAAGAAGTCGAGAAATTGATCATCAAGGTTCGTTTAACTTTCTTATCTCTATTATCATTATTTCCCGAATCTTTTAATTTGGATTCTTTGATTTCTTCGAATAAAAGTTCTTGTAATTTTAAAAAAAACTTCACGAGATAAAACATTCGATACTGATGGGAGTAAGAACGATGATTCGACGAAATTTCGTTTTGAATAGATTGTATCAATACTAAAAGCAAAAAAAAAAAAAAATTATTAAAAGTTGTAGATTATATGTTAATTTTATAAAAAATCTGGTGATGCAAGGCTACTTACCATTAAATGCCTCGTTTAGAAATTTGATCGCAAAATTTTTCAAGAATTTGCGTGTGGAAGTACTCATATCCGCGATAAATTTCTTTTTGTAGAACCATCGTGACTAGAATTAAATTATTGAATTGATTTAATTAATTGAATTCTGAACATGCAGAAATTATTTACATTACATTCGATATATATATATACCTGCACATTGGGTATTAGTTGAATATTGCCTTCTGGTTCAGATTTCTTGTCTTTGTGAATTTTACCAGAAATCGCTTCATGAATTGATACTACTTTTTCATAGCCACTCTATTAGCAAATAAATCTTTTTCATAAGAAATCAACCCATATTATTCATAATATTCATTATGAGAATAATATCTTTAACATACAGTTGTTTGAACCCAAATTTTAACTTGATGTTTTTGATCAGCCACCTGACGTTCTTTTTGCTTTTTTTGTTCTTTTAATAATAATTGTTCAGCAATCTCATTAGACTCCTTTTTGAATTAAAATAATAAAAAAAAAAATTTCATAAATTTCATATTTGTCATATGATTTTTACATATGATAAAAAATCAATAATCATACTTTTTGGCGATCATACATGATGTCTTCCGGATCAAGACCCTGAAAAATATTAAATAGGAGCTCTTGAATTGTTAAGTTCCAGATCTTTAGAGCACGCTCGTTTTTGGTTAATTCATGAATGAAATCGAAAATTTTATAATTGTTATAATAAACGTAAAGAGATCGCTAAAAATAAAAAATTTTTTTGAGAGTTAAAAAAATAAATGTCAATGGGTATCAATTAAATTGAAACTGAGTTAATGTTAAAGATATAAACAAACCTTTTCTTTGGGAAATGCACTAATCATTAATAAATTCCTGAAAAATTGTAAAACATCTGTAATCATAAAGACGTATTTCATAGAATTGTCGCTAATTTTTAATAATTAAATACTTTTAGTTTGATATTTATTATACATAATTAATACATCTATACCTATATATCTATATAATATACCGATCATAATTTTCTTTTACTTTGCACAAATAGTTGAAAATCTGCTGAAGAATTATATGATTCTTCAAGAATAACCGCCGATATTCAACAAGAGCGGTGTCATCAGCCTTTTTATGCTGAACAATTTCCTCCTTCGTCATTCCATGATATTTAAGTCGGTCGGTAGGAAGAGTCAGAAGATAAAGAATTTCCACTGTCAAAAAATATATATATATATATATATATAAAAATGATTTCTTATTTTTCAAATTCAATATTTTAATATCATAATTTAAATAATTTACCAATATTTGTTGAAATTTTCCTTTGGCGTTCAACCTCAAGATCATTATTTATTATCAATAATATAAGAAAGTGTTTCTCGATCACTCGCCATTCATGCAATTTACGAAAGACATGGTGATTTATTTTCGTATTATTTAAAAGTTCTTTTATTTTAATAAGATTCTCTGTAAATAAATATTAAGCAAGAGTAAATTTATCAGGTTAATTAAAAGAACTTTCGCCAAATAATTCTTGAATAGCTATTTATACTTACCAAGAACTTCCGAACCTTGTCTATAATATGTTTGATTATCATTTTCACGAAGGCCTTGAATAAATTCTTGTTTGCCTAATTGACCACATGAAGTCTTAAGAGTATCAATTGGCCAGTTGGAAGTATTAATTTCTCGAAATTTTTCGGATGTTAGAGATTTTAGGGACTTTTCTTGAGACATTGTGTGAAGGCGCGAAAATCGCGAAAATCTTTTTATATACGTAAGACGTGTATATCAGGTGATATAAAAGAAAAGAGATCTAATCAAATATGCAAAAGTAACGTTTTTGATAGATCTATACCTATGGTATTTTTTTGATTCTTATCCTGTGCCCGCAGGGGTTAGGGTTTGTCAGGGGTAGTGTATTTATCACCGTGATAACCAATCAAAAGGAACTTCTGTGCTAAATTCGGGTATACAGATAAACTGTACGGTACGAAACGCTATTTTGAATAGTGACTTGTACACTCACCTAGCAAAAGTATCCGACCACTTAAAAATTATTAATTACAAAGTAAATTTTTATCCGTTAATAACT